TTGAAGTAGAATTTCTTCAAGTTTTTGTTGTCTGATTTCTGTTTGCTTTTGTAATTTGATACTTTCTTTTTCAATTCGCTTTTGAAGTTCAAGCCTTTCCTTTTTCAGTTTGCTTTAGAATTTCAAGCCATTATTTTTCAGTTTGTTTTTGAATTTCAAGTTGGCATTTAAAAAAATTAAGCATGGCAGATTTTAACTTGTCCATGTTTGACTGTCTTTTTTGGGATTAAACCGAAATAGAATTTAACTGAGGAGAAAAAAAAAATAACTTTACTTTCTTACTCACTCAGGGAATCACAAGTGCTTTTTTTCTCTGAGAGACATGAATTCTCAGAAAGTTCAGTGTAAGTTAGTTATACTTTTTTTTGTTCAGTTTCCTTTTCTGGATTGCCAAGTATTGTTGAATAGATCTAATTCAACTTCTATTTATAGCTGGGAGAGTCCATGTGTGCATGGGTAAATTACCATAAAACACCTAATAATAATAATAGTAATAAAAAATTAAAAAAATTTCTTATGTCTACACTTGAAAATAAGTTTGTTTCTTTGATTCAATAATTGGTCATCATTTCTGTATTTAATTATTGCAATCTTCTCTTGTATGCACAGACAGCATCTATCCCAGAAAATGTTTGGAGTTTGAGACCAACAGATGATGTCCTATTTGATTTGTGGGGTGAAGCCTCTATCTTTAATCCACCAATGATGCTTGGATAGAGCAGTTTGGTGTCTTAAGGACGCATTGGAGAAGGAATGCTGGTGGTTGTCTCTGTTTTCAGTTTCGCATAGATATCCCTATGTATATTTGTTTATCATTAATATTTTCTATTTATATACACACACATTGAAGCAAGAGTTAAGACAAAAACAGGATGGCTGGAGAAAACATGGACAGAGGGGAAAAAAATTCAAAAATAACAGGATACATAACATTTAGATAAGCAATGATAGTTCTTGGTAGACTCCCTCTCTGTTTTTTTTTTTTTCCCCAGTTTTATATTTTTACATTTATATAAATGTAAAAGATCAAATCCACTGTTTGGAAATGCATCACAATATTTAGTCAGTTTACCAAATAAAAAACTTCCATTAAATGTAATGACCTCAGTAAAATAATGCTAGATTAATAAGCAAATAATCAGTATAGACACACATATATATGACAAAGACTTGTACCCACAGAAGGAGAAAATACACTTAAATAGTCTGGGGTTGTATAATTTTTTTGTCCTTAATTTTTGTTTTAATGAGATAGGACCAATAAGCCATTTTAGCTGTTTTTAATTCTTATAATATTTTGGTATTACGATTTTATGGTAATATATATAATTTGTTTACATTTCTTTTTGTTATGAAATGTTTTTAATATATCTATTCTTATAGCTATAATAAAATTTTGTACTTGTGTGAAAATATTTCAAACAAAAATTATTTTAAAAATCCAAGCAATTTTGAACCCAATTAAAATCATATGAAGTTTTTGTTATTGATTTTATGAGCTGTGAATATTTAAGGGAATGTTTAATTTTCTCATCAACAGAGTTGCTAAGTTTGAACTGACATAGTTTAATACCTGCAAATGTTTTGTTAGAAGGTGACTAATATTTATAGGTCAAGTGACACATAAGTTATTTATCCCTGACACTCTTCCTCATCTAACTTGTCAGGAGAACAGATGTTACAAATTGAAAAGCACACAGTGGTAACAAATCAAGGTGAGCCCGGTAAAGTATTGGATAAGCCTTTTCAAATTATGAATTAAATACTAAGAAAGATTTCACTGACATAATTTGTTTTATTATTTTACACCTACTGAAATTAATATGACTACTGTTAAGAGTTTAGTCATATTCTACATTTGTGTTGCATTCTGTCAATGTCTTTAAATAAACAATGTTTCTAGATAAGTGTACTCTAAAAATGAATATGAAAAATGGTTTGATGAAGAGATTAATGAACATGTTTAAATGTATTCTCACTGAAACAATTCACCTGTCCTTTTGATCTCACATTTAAATGTAAACTTTTTTGCATGAATTAAGTTTTAATCTGATTATTTTTTAGTTATATTCAGAAGTTATATGAATCTTTTCTTCAACTTTCTCATTTCAATAAAATGAACATACAAATTAATTTTGACTGTTGTATCATTTCATTGAACCTTTTCTCTATGTGAATCTTTAGAGAACATGTCAAAGAACTGCATCACAATGTCAAAACAAATAATGGGACTTTAGATAAGTCTAATTTAGTGATAAAATAACAAAAATGTATTAAATACTGTCAGTTTATACCCAACAAAAGTTGGGCATATAATCATGTACAGATACATAAAATTGAAAATAAATTTGCAGTTTCAATTAAGACATCTGTTCTAGATTTATTTGGTAAATGAGTGAGTTGAATACTGATTTTCAAGGCAACTAAGTTGGTGTGATACAATCTTCTTACTCCTATTTATTTCTCTTTGCCTTGTGCTAAAGAAATTCAAGTTTACATTTAAGTAAGCCAGTTATATTTTATTCTTATAATCACCTGAAATTTTAGTTGATTTTGTGTTTTAAATGTTAACTAAAATGAAACTAATCTATTATTTCATTGAGTTGTTCACATCAGTAGTAACTTGTAGCTTACACTGAAGATGAAATGACAATATGCTTTTTTAAATACTTCAGCACTCTCCTTAGTATTCTTGTTGTTTTCAGAAATGTTGTCATCCAGATGGTCTTCCCTTCTTTTCCCTCAGCTCTTCAGAAATGGTCCTAGCATTCAAATAACAAATGTCATGATATTCACCTTCATGTCCCACAGCTAGAGAGCTTACTTATATGGTGGAGATACTTATCCATTTTCTTACTGTTCTGATCTAGAACAGCAAACTCCATAATTTGACATGGACAAGTTTACAAATAGATCCCGTCTTCTAGCATGGATTGTGTAATCTATTTTAATTAAAGTCCCAAGAGATTTCATGTGATAAAACTGGTTTGTATAGTGAAAAACTTGTCAGTTGCACAGTTCCCAATGGATCATCTTTCTTTCCAAGTTATGCCTATTCTTGTATTCTGTTTTCTAGTTCAGACAGAAGGCAATCAGTTTCTAGGTCAAAAGTTGAGTTTGATGTACCAATATGCAAATACTATTTTACATTCCGTAATCATGGAAAATTTGTTCCCCTACACATGACTTTCCAGTCAAGGTGTTTGAGATCCAGCGATGATGCATGTATGGTCGGTAACCAGGTACAAGGCTGTCATCCGCCATTGAAGGGCTAGATTGATGCTGTTTATCACTGCATTGAGTTCTGCTAAATTAAGCAGTTGCTACTCTTAGCCAGCCACACATCAGAAAGTGTCCCACAAATCATCCATACAGAGAAAACACATTTCGGCAAGTAATGACTTCAGGAACGTCAGGGACTTGACTTCTCCACTTCCATTGGAGAGTACCATTCTCCCCCAGACCTGCAGACCCAACACTTTGGTCCCATCTTCCAGTCTCTCTGGGTCTTTGTAATTGAGTCCCTATTTGGATAGGTGGTGACTCACATGTGTCACAGAAACCAAGGCTTTGTTGACAAAGATGTCATCTATGTAAGCTGATGTGGCATCTTTGGTTGATGGATTCTGGTACATAACCAAGTCTATGATAGCCCTCATAATGAGAGGTGCCACATTTAACCCAAAACCTAATTGCATAAGGCAATACCTCATGCCCTTGATCAGCACAGTTTGAAAGGGCCACAATGCCTTGTCAACATGTATCTGTAGGTAAGCCTTTCTCAAATCTAATAGGGAGATGTTTACTCCCTGCCAATGCTATTCTCTCAAGTTTTAGGTGCACACATCCACATCGACAGTGAACACTTCCACAAAATTGTCCAATTCCCTGTAATCAAGGACTGACTGAACCTTCTCTTTGTTCTTTTGAACCACTGCCACTCAGGCCTTTGGGTAGACTGAACTCCCCTTCAGGATGTAGAAGCAACCATTCCTTGTCTAGCCACAGCTGCAGCATCAGGCACAGTGTACTGCAGCACTCAGTTTTTTGAGTGTTTGACTGCTGGCTCATTTCCACTGGGCAGTCCAAACCTTCTTCTGCTGGTTGAATTTCATACTAAAATCAGCAGATTAAAGCCTAGCAATGTTCCATCCATAACCAGGATTTCAATGCTCATGAGTCAAGCGTATATCCATGGCACTTTAGCAATTTTCTATCAGCTGTAAACAACTTCACCTCCTGGCATTGCCAAAGATGGCATACAGATCTGCTGACTATTGTCTGAGTGGCCCAAATCTACAAGGGCTACACACTTCTGTTCTTCTATGAGCACTTTGATGATGGGTAGTGCACTGTTCTTTACTTGTTCGGAGAGGAGACTAGTGCTGACATCTCTCCTGAACCATTTCCCTGGCACACAGACAAGATGTGTCCAACATTGTTGTGCCAAAAACAATGCACTTCATGGCATGATCTGCACATCAAGTTATCTGTCCCCTCCAAGTTTATTCACTCAATTTATTGCTGGAATTGGTTGTTGACAAGGCTGAACTTTTCATTGAGCTGTTGTTATTCTTAGATTGTTGTGGGGGAAATACTTATATCTTTCTGAATTTAACTTGGTGATGGAAATCAGCAATACTTATTTCTGTAAGACTTAAGTCTATTCTTTTTCAAAACATACAACTGAAGCATAAATTAAATGACATAACTTGTTTAATGCTAAAATAATTACTTTGAAAAAGAGTTAAATAAAATATGAGATGAAAATAAACAATACTCATTTTTTAATAAGCTTTAATCAACTTGTTTCTTAAGATACATTTAAAGCATAAACAATAGTTGATTTACATCTGTTGTATACAACATGTTATTTGAATTGTATAAACATTCTGTTTGAAATTTCTTTGAACTGAAATCATGTGTTGTTGAACTGAAATTTTGCTCTTTTCATGAATTTTAAATAAATTTCTTAAACTTTTCAAAATAAATTCTTATAGTCATGGCAGAAATATCAATACCGTTTTTCCTTACTGCTGAATGAACTTCGACATGCAGACCACAATGCATACAAAGTCAGCATTTTGGCACTAATCAATGCAATCATCTTTGCCAATGAAAACATTCAGGATCGAATGCGGATTCGAAATGAATTCCTTGGTAAGTAATTTGCTTATGTCAACAAAGTGGAGTCACTGATTTGATATATGACTAGTGGGATTCCAGAAAACTCCAGTTATTGAAATATAAGATTTATATATTTGCATAATGGTGGCAGTAATTCTGTGGGAGAGTTCATGATATGTCAAATATATATTTTTTAAACACAATAATTAAATAATTTTAGCCAATGAATTTAAATTTAAAAATAAAGTAATTATAGATACAAAAATAAAATTGCAACTGTCACTCCATTGTTTTCTATATGATTCCAAATGCTACAAATGAGCATAATAAGTAACATCTCACTTTAACATAAGAAACATATTATTTAGTCCATTTTACCTACCTATAACTCTCAGTTAAAATTCTTTTATTAATAATCCCTTAATTTAATTAATTCAAAAAGGACCTAAGACTGTACAACATCATAAATCTATATAATACTGAACTCTAATCCCTCATGGATGTTCATTCTTGAAATACAATGCATAATACCCCAACCAACTATGGAAAATATTGTACCTTGAATCCTTGATAAGTGCAATGCCAAATTTCATTCAAATTAAATAACAGGGTTTTGGAGCTAAGGCTGTTTTCTGTTTTTACAGCATTTTTAATAGGAAATTCAGTATTTGTTTTCAATACACATTCTTATATCAATCCACGTATATATACAAATACTTGCATATTATATTCCACCTATTATGTGTACGAAAAGTAAACGTTCATAATATATTATAACATTATTAAATGAATTTAAATATACATAACACAACATATGTTTATGCAATTCACTACACTACATTAGAACTTTTTATAAACAAATATCTTAGGTGTTTGGCAACTACTAAGATGAAAGGGTATGTGAATGTGTCATTGTAAAACATAATCTGTATGGCTGGAAAATTGTTTCACATGACTTGATAGTAAATAGATGCATGCTGGTTTGCCACCATTATGTATTTTGAAATAAATGTAAGGATGAAATGTATAATAAAAAATTATAATTATTATTCTGAAAAAAATTACCAAGAAAAAAAATGAAACTAAGTGTACAAAAAGGAGGCATCCATACTTTATTTCAGTAAATATGAATCTCTGTAAGCAGACAATTGCTGTTAGTATTTTGTTTTTTAGAATTAATTTCACCTTTGAAAATTATAATATGGTAAATGCTAAAATTGGCATAAATTGTCATCCCAGGGCTACTATTACTTGAATGGAAACAATGATTTTATGTTATTATTTTTTTGTGCAGTCATATATCTTAACAATTGCCAACATTATATATTCTTGAACTAATACACAATCAGTTCATAGTAATTAACTACATTTAAGGGGAATATCTTCTCCTGATAAATTAAGTGTTATTTATGGAATCAATATATGAATTGTTAAAACTATTAAATTTATTTCAATGATATATTAATAATTTGAATTTGTTGGTAATTATTACAATAACATGTATTGTAAATACAAATTAAAATATGCATGATACTAAAATTGATAATATTTTTAGTTCATTGTTTTGCATCATGAACTGTTTTTAAAAAGAACCCAATGGGTTTATGGGTGTTCTAGTTAATATATACTTTTTACATTCTGTATTTCATAAAAAGCATTTTTCATTGATTTCAAACTGGAAGCAGAAAGAAAACTTTACTTTATAAATTAGGTAATGGGAGACACAAAAAATAGTGGAACATACATAAAAAGGAATAAACAACTTGAGCAAGAAGAATAATTTTAAGTGTGCTTATAATTTTTTTAAATTATTGTGAGGTTGCATAAGGTTTTGAAGTCATTATGTACTCTAAGATTAATAGTTACAAAATTATCTTTGTAGTTCATTGCTGCTGTAGTGAACTTGATATTTGCTGTAGCCTTGTGATAAGTCAAAATTTACAAAATCAAAGATGTATTAAAGCAAACATTACTAAACCAAATAGTAAATATCATAATATTATATACCATAATCAATTTGACTTAATTCAATTAAATTTTCTCTTTAGTATCAAAACTTTCTTGAGAAAACATAATCAATTCTTTTGCTGTATAGAGAACAGACCAGTAAGTACACAACTTATCAGAAATTTACTAAAGACTTTATCTTAATTGAATTCCTGCACGACAAAAGTTAAAGAGGCACAAATATATATTTGTCTAGTGTAATAGAATACAAACTTTAACTTTGTTTATTGGATTATAATATCATGGTAAATTTACCTATATTTTATTTCCTTCAAGTAATGTCTGCTTTCATATATGATTTTACACCATTTTCACTGTTCATTTAAATTCTTTACTTGTTTATCTGTTTTACAGCTCTCAACATTGAAGAAACGGTGGCTGCAGTATGTGAAGCAGACACAAACCCTGATTTCCAAATTCAATGGGAAGTATTCCAAGATGAAATGTCAGCTGATCGAGAAGCTATAGAAGAGATAAAAGAAGGTGTCATAAATGTGAACAATCATCAAGAATTGTTTCAAGCAATTTACAACAGAGTGAGTTATCATCAAATGCAAAAACATCGATAGTTGATATTCATTTATTCTGTTTTTATTCCATGTAAATTATATTGGATTTTATTACGCAAGTCAATGTTTTCATGATAAAATTGATATTTGTTGTATTGTGGTGTTCTATGAACATGATCAGTAATATATATATATATTTTCTGAAATTTTGACAAAAGTCAAGTCCTCCAATTGTTTGCAGTACGCCATAACTGAAATTTTCTTTATAGCTTCACAACCTGCCGAAGATAGAAAGAGGTCAGTTATTTCATTTTTTCCCCCTCTTGCCTGGTTTTCTTTCAATGTTTTTGTAGTGAGATGCAAATTAGTATAATTTGCATATGAGCAGGTAGCTCATATGATAAATGGACACCAACTAGAACAGAGGTAGAATGCTTACTTAGCAGGATACACGACACAACAATGGCATCGGCGATAGGATACTCTTTGGTCCTTGAAGACCCAGAGTACGTAGACACGTGGATTCGTTGCTTTGCTGCTAATGCAAGATGTAAAAAGTTGAAAGACAACAAAAACAGAGGAGTGGAAAATGAAATCACCGACTTTTTCATGGCTACCACTGGTTGTGAAGCGATTATGAAGGTTGCTACAATGGTTTACCCTCGAGAACTAGAAGAAATGACTTTCGAAGAAATAAGTCAGGTTATTAAGGGAAACATGAGGCCAAAGAAAAGACTGGTGATTGCAGAAAGGACCAAGTTTATGGCAATGAAGGAGGAAGTGGATGAACCTATAGTAAAATATTTACACCGGTTAAGAAGTGCGAGTAAATACTGTGAATTCGAAAAACTAGGAACAGGAGAGCAGACAACAAAGAAGAATTAATCCAACTAAGACTAATTGAAGGTATGCATAATTCGGCACATAGATATAAGTTAATGGAACAGTTACAACTTACAAACATGCCTTTGAATATGTTTATAGAATTTATACAACAGCAGGAATTAATACATACCTACAACCAAAATAAAAATAAATCCTACGAAGAAATAATGGCTGAAACATATACGGTACAAACAAAAAAAAAAAAATTGTGCGTACTGTGGAAAAAATTCATGAAATGAAAAAAGAAAAATGCCCAGCCTTTGGAAAAACGTGTTCAAAGTGTTTAAAAAAAAATCACTTCAAAGAAATATATAAAACGAAAAATGTGGAAAGAGTAGAGGATGAAAATAGACAGATTTTTAATGTAAAAAAGGATAATATACAAAATACTGGATCTAAGAACGGAGATACAAAAATAAAAGTGAAAATCAACTACTGTATTGTCGAAATGCAAATCGACACAGGTAGTGAGGTCATGATAGTACCCAGAAATTTGTGGGGAAAAAATGGGAAAACCGTTTTTAAAAAAAAAACCAACGTACAATTACATCAGTTTGATGGCTCGATTATAGCAATTATGGGTTACTTTGAAGGTTCAATAGAATTAAAAGAAAAATATGAAATAGTACCCATTATAGTTACAAATTGCTGAAAAACACATGGACTACTGGGGAATGACGTGTTAAAAATAAATTCAACGAAGATGATTAATGAGATAGAAATAGAAAAACAGGAAAATTAAAAAATTATGAAGCTAACCTGAAATTAAAAAAAATGTTTCCCCTCCTACTACAAAGAGAAAAATACTAGTGCATTTATTACCGTTGGTAATAGCTAAATTGCGAAAAGCTAATAAAGGAAGACTTATTAGAACCAGCCCCTCCAGGAGGAAGTAAATGGGCATCACCCATTGTGGTATTGAAAAAAAAGATGGTAACCTGAGAATTTGTGGAGATTATAAAATAGGGGTGAACCATAAAGTTTGTGCTGATTCGTACCCTATTCCGAATGTGGAAGTAGCTTTACATAAACTTGCTGGAATGAAAGTATTTTCAAAGATAGACCTAAAATCAGCTTACCACCAAATACCGATAAATGAAAATTTTAAAGAAGTGACTACTATAAACACACCTATAGACCTGTTAAGGTGGAAAAGAATGCCGTATGGCATAAAAACGGCAAGTGTAATTTTTTCAAAAAGCTATTGAAAAAGTAATAGGAAATGTTGAAAATACCATCTGTTATCAAGACGATATATATATTTAAATGAAGATGATTTAAAGAAAAAAACTGAAAATATACTGAACCGGCTAAGAGACGCTGGTATGACAATAAATACAAAAAAGTGTGTAACCAACAGTAATGAAATATCATTTTAGGTTACTCAATATCAAAGGAAGGATCTCTCCAGATAAAGTACTAATAGAGAAAATTCTAAAAGTTGCTACACCAAAAAAAAAAAGAGTTGGAGTCATTCTTAGGTTTGGTAAATTTTTATAGAAAATATGTACCAAAAATATAATGAGTTGACAGAACCATTTGCTAAGTTAAGAAAAAAAAAAATGTGGAATTCATTTGGTTAGAACACCAACAGAAAGCCTTTGAAAACTTAAAACAGATTCTGGCAAAAAAGCCAATAGTACAAATTTTTTGACCCTAAGAAGGACATAACTCTAACTACTGACGCTAGTGAGCAGTCCATATCTGGTATTTTGTCACAAGATGGGCATCCCATAATGTACTTATCGAGGAGATTAACAACAACTGAACACAATTATTCGAATATAGAAAGGGAGGCACTAAGCCATAGTGTGGACAACAGATAGAGCAAGACAGTTTTTGATGGGAAAAAAATTCTTGTTGAAAAGTGATCACAGACCACTGGAATTTATTTTCAACCCAAGAAAAGAGCTACCGAAAATTACAACGTCCAGAATATTACGTTGGGCGATTAGACTGATGGCGTTCGACTTTGACATTGAATATGTTAAAGGGAATACGATACCGCACGTTGATGCCTTATCTAGATTGAGAGGTTTTATAGAGAGGAGAAGGACAAAAACGACGAGGAATTTGAAGACACATTCTTGCACCTTGTAGAAACCGATCTAATATCTGTAGATAAAATGGCTACTGAAACTACAAATAACCCAGTGTTAAATAAAATAATGTCTAGGATAAAACAGAATCACTGGGGAAATTTTTCAATGGCTGAAAGACCATTCAAAGAAATCAGACATAAAATGACTATAGAAAACAGGATAATATGTAATGGAGACTTGGTAGTTCCCCAGAAACACAGAGGAAACAGGTTATAAAAAGTGTACATGATGACGTACATTGTGGAGTGGCAGCTACATAAAGAAGATTAAAATTGGAAGCCTGGTGGCCAGGGTACTCAAGAGACGTAGAAGACTACGTAAAAAGATGCAAAAAATGCACAGAACTCAGGAATTTTAAGCAAAAGAAAATACATGTATGGCCCCGAGAAGTAGAACCATGGAGCAGAGTACACATGGACCATGCCTATGTCAATGGGATAGGACTATTATTATTATTAGTAGACGCATATTCAGGTTGGCCTGAAGTGGTGAGAGTACCTGATAAAAAAAAAAAGTACCACCGTAAAACAAATATTAAGAGTAATATTTTTGAGGAATGGGACACCGAGAACATTAGTGACTGATAACGCACCAGAATTTGTGGATGCTGATTTGCATGAATGGCAAAGAAAAATAGGATGCAGACCTTACAAGACCCCTCCCTACCACCCTCAAAGTAATGGGGCAGTGGAAAGGATGGTCCAGACGGTAAAGAAGGGCATAAAAGCATGCTTGCAACAGAAGGAGGAAATCGATGCTTTCCTACCAAGACTACTATTAAGTTACAGAACAATTCCACATGCAGGCAGACGGAAAGTCCATCTGCCTTAATGGGCAGATAATTAAGGTCCCCTTTGACTATGTTGAGAGACCTTTCAAAAGATGTCTTCTCTGTTTAAATAGGAAGATGCTTCTTCAAATATCTTATTATGCGAAATCCACTTTTCTTGTTTATTAAATAAAGAAAATCAAAACTTATTTGTTTTAGCTTTGCTATTTCAAATTTTCAACAGAAGAATCGGATGAGGAAATGCCTTGATAGATGCCCATTTTTGAGATAATATCTATCTTATTAATATCTGAAATTATAAAAATAAATATGAGTATATTGAAGACCAGCAACACAAGAGGAACAATTCGATTATAAAAAATATTTGATACATTCTTTTCTTCAGTGGCGTCAAGCACTGTGAAATTGTTCTGCACATGATGTCACTTACATGATATACATATAATTTAATTTGAAATGCAGCAACAAGAAATGTCAAGATGTTGTTGAAAAATATTGTCTACATTGACAGCATTCAAGTTTTGATCATGACTGAGGCAGTCAAAAGTACTCAAACAAAAACTATACTATATATTAATTTAAAACCATGTTTGTGAACATCCTAATTTTGTTTTGCCTCTTCAACTAAAATGGAATTATTGTAATAAATTATAAGATGAAATATTTTAAATAATGTTGAATTTTATGTTGAAACATGAATATTGTTCTTATATAAATATACTTTGAGAATATGATGAAAATTAGTTGGTTGATACCATTTTTTATGTGTGGAAGAGTAAGATGACAAGATGGAAAATTTTTTTACTGAAGCATTTCTCTAAAAGGACAAAATAATTTTTTTCAAAATGTCATTCACTTGTAACCACCACAGATTGATCAGTTTGCTACTAGTATTTACTTGTCCCTCCATAGTGATGTGATGTAACATATGGTCAGTTTAATGTAGGTATGAAAGAAACAGATTTGATTGAATTTAAAATTCTCCAGACCCTGCAACCAATGTTATGATACATTGGTATTCCACCATAAACTCTGAAACTTTTATTGCAACACGTTATCATGTTGCAGTGACTGGGTTAGAATCCTCAGGAAAATTTTTTTCTTCCATTATATTAACTCTTTGCATTCTGTCCTTTGACAACAACACAATTTGAAAGATAAAAATTTAGTCACCAATCCTTAAACTCTGTGGTTTACTAGTCCAAATCACAGAAAAGACAGTTTTTAAAGCTACCCACCAGCCATGCCAG